CAGAGTCCCCCCCCTTTCACATCAGAGTTCCTGCTGTACTTTAGGAGCCCCTTTCACCTCCGTCTTCATTCCCCCCTTTGCATTACAGACCTACTACCACAAAAGTTGTATCGGCACCCTGGTGGAGAACGGCTGGGCTAGGGGGATATACATATTCATAACTTGAGCTATTGCATCTTCTCACACTATTGCCAGGGATTCTGCAGGCAGAAGAAAATAGTAACACTGGGCTTGGGGAGAACCCAACAAAGGCAGAACATTCCATTCAGCTTAAGCTAACTACAGCCTAGCAGTACTAAATTTAAAGAGTCACTCCTGCATAGGGCAGGGTGGCTACATAGGCCACAAATCTTAGAGCTACTCCCTGCCACATTTAGAGCAAGCTTGCACACTCATATCTTTTATTGTTTTACATATAAAGCTATTGGAGGTGAAATAGCTGTGCAATAGTGGGCAATGCAAGCTGAACTATCACTGAATAATGGATGAGGCAACGTTGATAGAGATGACAGGTATTTAAACATTGTAAATAACAGTACGTGTGTGCCTCCAAGTCCCAGTAACAGATGAGGCAGCATGTGAAGGAAGTAACATGCAGAACAAGTGCAGTAACTTTCTTGTTCAGTGTAGAAATACAAATTGAACGGTTTGCTTTAAAGTTTAACTATACTGATATCTGTGTGGGGGTAATAGTTTGTATATGTATTAATTACTTTTTATTTCACATGCCTTTTATCTATATGTCTCTTTTATAAGCATAACAAACTGTCAAGCAGAAGTAACATTGATGGGGAGTTGAACAAATTGTGACACAGCAAGCAATTTTTAAAGCTTGCAAATAAAAGCCAACAGGTGTGATTCCCCCTTGGCAGTGTTATTGTTTGTCCAGGCTCCTGTTACTGTCACATTTGTTGGACAGCTTGGTCTGCTTGGAAATGGTAAGAAAATTATGAGTAAAGGTATGTGAAAATGTTCTACAATTTTATATGTTTGTGAAGGTTCTCATTCATCCACGTCATGATATATCTGTAAAAAAATCAGTCAGGGCAACTGGACTTGCTGTATTTTTCTTGACGTTTCACTGGTCATCTAACCAGCTTTCTCAATTCAGAATGACTTGTACAAAAATTCTCTGGGAATAAATATTTAAGTCTTTCTGAATTGAGAAAACTGGTCGGATGACCAGTGAAACGTCACAGCAAGTCCAGTTGCGTTGACTTATTTTTTACAGATATTCTACAATTATAGTTATTATCTTAAAGCAGGGGTAGCCAAATGTTCGTCTTTACAGCTTTGGTGAAACTGCAAATGCCATCATGCATTTGCCTCTGGGAGCCATGCCTGTGGCTGTCAGTTTGCCAATGGCTCATGAGTATTGTAGTTTTAACACAGCTGGAGGGCCAGAGATTGCCTACCCTTGCCTGCAAACATTTCCTTATTAGTGTGCACATAGCCAGCAATTTGGCATTGACATCATCGCTGTGCTGTACACAGCTTGTGCAGAGAGCAGAGCTGCGGAAGGGGCCCAGCAGGCTCCACCCATTAGGGGCTGCCTACAGATAACTACAAGGGGGCGTATACAAAAGCAGTCACCCTGCACAAGGAGAGAGCAGCAGTGACCAGTCTTTATTACAGGAAGCTCCTGCAGAGAGGGACAGTTTAATACTGGATTAGCGGCACAGATCTTGGAGAATTACACAACACACCCAGGTTTGAGTAAGGCTATACATGCCTCTTGTATTAAGATGATGAGTTCTTATCCTGGAGTTCAGCTTTAAAACATAGCTTCTTCTAGAATCTAGATGGTCTAGGGCAGTGCAGACAGTGTATTAATAGGATCCGGTTTTAGTGCTTCATATTTGGGATCGTAGGATCCAGTTTTCAGCGATTGTCTCTTATAACCTTTCTACCTTCAGCCTTTTCTCTACACAAACCTAAGATTTCATACCTGACTTAATACTCCTGCAGCGTTTTTTATTTTAAAGTCAAAATATTTATTACAAAAAATAATAGTATTTTTTTATTCTTTCTTCTTTTCAGCAAGTTACGGGTAGAAGCTTTGGTGATAAAGACTTTCGCACGGGACTGGAAAATGGAATCCTTCTTTGCGAGTAAGCCCATTTCTTCTTTTGTTTTTGGTGGATAAATAGTTCTGATATTGTTGTCTCCAACTTTTAGAGGTGTCCCTGGAACAAGAGGTAAGGAGAAATCTTCTAATGAGGAGTACTGCTTCGGGGACAACTTTCTAAGAGGGGAATGGCACTCACTAGAGATTTCCTCTAACTTCCTGTTCCGTTTCTGGGACAGGAAGTGAAGGGAAATTTCTCCACGGGTGCACAGCAAAACAATAGCCTGACAGGGGTTTTAACCCTTCCCTACACTTTCCAAAACTGAAAAAATGTTTGGCTATAGATGCACTTTAAACGCATGTGTAGGTAGGCCTCTTCCAGCAGAGGTTAGGTTGTAGTTCAGAATTTGATGGTTCAGTTTGGGCATAGATGGAGAAGATGACAATGAACTTTAAAAGTCTAAACAAACTCCCTTATACTTGTGCAGGCTCATGAAGTGCCTGTGAAGTGTGCAAATATTAAATACTGTTGACTTGTAGACATGTAGAATATTGTGTGAAAACATTTCATAGTCAGTTCATCTTTTTATTAAAGGCATTAACATTATACAAAAATGGGAAGAACCGTACAAAATATGTCTTCATCTGTATCACAGAACAATTACAAACTTTGAATGCCCGAACATGAGAAATACAAAAAGTTAACAGTAAGTTAGCAAAGAACATACAACGACACCAGTAGGGCTTCTGAGGGTAGGTCACCTGAATACCAGACAACCTACCTGAAATAATTTGACAGGAAATCTGGGATAAAACAAATAGATAATATAATGTTTCAATAAAACTATAGAAAGGGAAAGATGGGAAGAAGGGAAGAACAAGCGTAAGAACAGGGTCGCCATGGTCCAAGTGACACCATGCATGCCGGTGTACACAATACTCTAGCTATCGAGTACAACTAAAACAGTGTGAAAACATTTAATAGGGAAATCTGTGGTAGACCTCTAAACTTATGACTATACTTTGACTTTCCTGACACGCATGCTTGTTCCGGGACAGTCTTGAGACCATTGGATGAACATCACAGCCAGTCAGCTAGCATGTTAGGAGGAGATCAGCAATGGCAAACCCCATATTTCGCTTAGATTAAATTTAAAGTTTAACTCCAAGCAAATGTCTACATACACAGACAGAATACATATAGGGAGGCTGTTTTACCTTCTAATGGATTTGTATTTTTGCCCATCCAGTCTTGAGCTTTGCTACACCACCCAACTCTGTCTAGCAGGGCAGGAGAGCTGATTTTTCTCTGCAATTCATGAACACTAAAAGGTCTCCTCACCACACTGGATTGAGATGATTGATTAAAGGAGATGCAGCACACTGATGACCTCTCTGCCACAGCCCTCTCCTCCTTGCACTGCAGCACAACTGATTGACTTTTTGTGCTGCTTCTCCCTCCCCCAGCCTGTGCTCTGCTGTACAACTACTGTAAAAGGCTGACGCCAAGTAAAATTCAAGGATGCATTAGGTGAGATGTATTGGCAGATTAAAATATACACCTCCCAATAGTCACACGATGGCTATATAGATCGAGAGCTGAGCGCTCATGGTCTTCTCCCTGCAGAGAGCCAGGGCTGTCAGTCACAGCTCCCTGCAGGGATTCCCCCCTCCCCTCTCTGTTCTTCAAGCACTCATTGGAGGCACAGAGGGGAGGGGGTGGGCACAGCTGGCTCTACAGAGGCAGAGCCAGCTGTCAATCAGGCAGGGGGGTGGATCCTGACCAATATTGTCAGGATCCTTCTCGGTACAGTGTGGATCTGCACTGTCAGCCTCTATATGCCTACTATGGGTCACAGGAGTACATTAGTAAATAGATTCCTGTGGCCCAAATGAGAAGTAAAGCCAAAAAAGGGTTTCACTTTGCTTCTATTTTAATGAATATAGAGCTGCCTTAATTTTTCTTTTATATCTTCCTGGAGTTCAGCGATAAAGTATATCTGAAGCCAAAACTTTTTTTGTTCCATTTTGAACAGAAAAGGGAAAGGTTAAAGTAGTATTAAGGTCTGGGCGTTTTTTCCCTTAATGCATTCTCTGCATTAGGGTAAACAATGCCCAGAACCTTTTTTTCTTCCCCAGTCACCCTCAGTCACCCCCCACACTTATCTGTCAGCGATGCTCGTCCCCGCCGCCGGTCCCGAACTGATCGTTCATTCCCTGTACTTCCTGGTTGCAGGGGGAGGATACTGATGGTAGAGGAGCCATAGGCTCCTTCTGCCATCAATCAAAGAGAGAAGGGCAGTGGCCTGCCAGAGGGCTGTGTGTGTCTATGGACGCACACAGCCATTGCAGGCACGAGCGCGCACAGTTGCCCCCATTAGAATGATGGTGGCACCCGTGTAGGGGCTGGGGGAAGAGCGCTGCAGAGACCCACTAGAAAACAAGGAATTTAAAAGGGCAACATCCTCCGGCAAAGGTGGGTGTCCGAATAGCAACTATAAAAACATTTACAAAAAAAGGTTTAATATCCATTTAAGCCGCTCATGTGTTTTTTTTTTTTTTGGTTTTTTTTTTTTCTCACCCATAACTTCTTGAGTGGTGGACACAACAGGAAATGAGAGGAGATCTCATTCTAGAGTTACCACTGAAATAGGTGTCCCCTTTGAAATATTTCCCCCCGTTCCTGTTTTGGTAACAACTTGATTCAGAGTCACCAGGACACACACAGCAATAAAAAAAAGCATTACAGGGGATGTTGCCCTTCCCTACTCCTTCCAAAACTAAAAAAAAGTTTGGAAAAGGTTTTTAAAAAGTTTTAAAACCATTTTAAATCTACAAATCTCTTTTGAGACAAATGGTGTTTGATTAATGAATGCTTTGAAGGGCTTGCTAAATGCCTGGAAAATAACTAGAATCAGGCCACATACATAAATAACAACTAGGGGAAAATGCCCATGTGTCCAAAACGTCTGTGCAATGATACTGGGCATCTTTGTGCCCCTAATAAATGTAATTTGCTAAATCAGGTCAAATGGAGTCCTATGGGAAACTGGTGTCTTTAACAATTATTCATTGTTCCTCAATAAAGCGATTGCCTGGCATGTTCCAGCATGGCTATGTTCAAATAACATGTCAAATAGACACAGTTTATACTGGACATTTTCCATGACATGCTGTAAAGAAATGAAATAGTGACAAGTATACATAAATATACGTTCAGTGTGTGTGTGTGTGTGTGTGTGTGTGTGTAGATAGATAATGCTTTTCCCCGCCGTGTAACCTGTTAGAAGCTGGTCTGAATTGAGAAAAAGCTGTCCGCTGTTCACCACACGTCCCTGACGCACACACGCACGAACACATTTACTCTATGGCTAAAGGACAGATAAAACTACTTTTTTTTATATCTTTCTGGAGCGCTATCCAGTGTCCAATAATGCCATATTGGGGAGATGACATATCTGTGATGAAATGATAATTTTTTTTCACAACATACAAAATGCAATAAAAGAGTTGAGATTTTTGTGAGAGATCTTGCCACTTGAACAGCCATCAGTACTGTGTGTTGGATATTCACCTGTGCTGTCTGGCAGTGGTGACAGGTTTTACAAAACCAGCTGCACAGAATTACAAACACTGGCAGGTAAACTGTATCCACGTCAGTATTTTACCTTTTGTGTTTAGCCTTGAAAGTCGATTTACATTAAAGCCCCTCTCTGGGCATGACAATTTCCCCTCCCATCCCTGCCTCACACACATTCAATTTGTATACCTTCAAAATAAATCATTTTAGAGCTTGTTCACATGACGTCCGGATTCTGCCCGGACCAGATCCGTGCGCTCAATCACCCAAAATGTATCCCTATGTGTTTTTTGGGCTACAGTTCTCAAGAGCGCAGTCAGTTCCGGTCCGGACAGAAAAAATACTGCATGTCACATTTTGTCCGGTCCGGGAACGCGTCAAAAACGAAAACGCACTGCACTGCAGCTAACATAATGACAGCCCCACTCCAACCAAAACAGGAACACATCAAAAACGCGTCAAGAACGTACTGCATGCATATCACCGCGTCTCCAGATCTGGACCAGAAAATCGTGTGAACAAGCCCGTAGGGCCCATTTACACCAATGGGCTTGCTGGTGTACATTGTGCACGTGCGCTGCAATGCATAATGGATGTAACGGATCGCAGTATTTCCTTTTTTTTTCTCCATTTAAAGTTGACAAAAAAAACACCTTAATTTAACTCATTGGGAAACCGTGTGTTGTGCCGGGCAGCTGTTCATTGTAACAAATTATTGTGCATTGTATAAAAAATGCAGACATGCACACCAATGCCCTTTTCATGTATAAATAATTGTTTTCTCCATGTCCTTGCGTTGAGTCCGCGTGTTGATCAGTGCAGCTCGATGCACCTGGTGTGAAGAAGACCTTAAGATTTTTTTTTATACTTAAAGTGCATTTTCAATTTTGCAGCCAACTGCTAGGGCTCTCTGTCCTAACAAAGGGCTAAAGTCTTGAGGACATTGGAGGTAATTTATCAGAACTGGAGCAGGCAAAATCTGGAGCAGTTGTCCATAGTTAACCAATCGGCTTCTATTTTCAGTTTGCTCAGTTAAGCCTTGAAAAAAAAACAGAAGCTTATTGGCTGTCAGATTCTGTCTTCTCGTTTTGATTATAATGAAGGGGAGCTTAGCATGTCCTAAGTCTTTCTATTAGGGCCCAGTCACACCATCAAGAGTGCGTTCGGCCTCTGCAATGCAATCCGACCGGCATTTTTTGGCTGTGTTTTTGATGCGTTCCGGGACGTTTTTGGTAGTTCAGAATGGGCTTTCAGTGCGTTCCAGGGCGTTTGCATGCGTTCCAGAGCAGGTAAAATAGGGCTTGCTGCAGTTTTTTTACATGCTCTGGAACTGAACGCTGCGGTGTGAACTAGAGCCCAAAATACCATTGGAATACATTGGACGCAGTTTTGATCCAGTCTAACTGCTCTGCTCCTGGAACGCGCTTGGTGTGAACAAGGCCTTAGGTTAGACAGTTTCCTGT